GAAATATAGATGACGTGAAGCAGAACTTTTGTTAATAATTATGTTATCCATAATAATAATTTGTAAACAATTTAGGTAGAATTTGACGAAGGATTATTGATTATTAAATTGGACCTTCCCCTTTCCTTAAATCAGACATATTTTCATTCCCTCTCCTTCTTATCTCTCGTTTTCTCGCAGGTCGTTATTTTCTCCGACACCCAATTTCATAATTCCAGTACTATTCCCCCGTCCTTTGTGCCCAAATGATTTCATCCTCTGCTTTTATCCGCTTCTCTGCCCCCCTCCCCGACCCCGGCTCTATTTCTCTTTACACTTTCTCTCCCGATCTTCAGTGCATTTGATCTCCTGCCGATTATCTCTGAGCCATAAAAAAATAATGTGACACGAGTCAGATGAAATTGAATGAAATCCAAGCCTGATGTGACAACACAAAGGTCAAAGCTCGAAGTGATGCGTTGAACGATAGCGGCGAGTCGGGCGGCGATCGAATCGCCGGTTAATGATGGAATTAGAGTCACGTGATCTACGCTTTTATACCCAACGGAAGTCAAAGCAAACAGGAACCGGAAAGAGAATCCGTGAAGTTGACGCATTGTTGATGTTCATGATGATATTGATATGCTGGCGCATAACGAGACAAGATGAAAGGCAAAGAATGAAAGGAAAAAAAAGAAAGAAAGGAAAAAAGGAAAGAAAAAGAACGGTAAAAAGACAGGAATAAAGAAAGAAAGAAAGAAAGAAAGAAAGAAAGAAAGAAAGAAAGAAAGAAAGAAAAGAAAAAGGGAAGTAAGGAAAAAAATGAAGCGAAAAAGAAAGGACGCAAAGAGAGAAAGGTAGGAGGGAAAAGAAAGAAAAGGGAATAAAAGACAGAAAGAAAGAGTGAGAGAGAGAAAGAAACGATAAAATCAAGAAATGAGATTTTTAAAAAGGATCTACAGAGAAGTGAGGTATGAAGTAGAGAAAAGTGAAAGCAAACAGAGGTACTTGCTGTAGGTGGTTCGTGACAGCAAATTCGTTCGTTAATGTAGAAATGTTCAGCCCTCATTTGGACTTCCATTGCTATGGAATTCTGTGAGACTATGCAAAGTTTAGTAATTTACTGTAAAAAAAATAAACGACTAATATGACACACGCATATATATGAAAAGTAATTTTTCAATGGGTCAGTTTTTTAATTCTACATTATTTCATGTGCATTCGCAAAAAAGATAATTTAGCCTTAGAGCCCGTGGATCAATTGATAAGGATCACCTTGAACAATATGATTGGTGTCCTTGAGGGGAAAAAAGGAATGCTGCTTCGATTCCTGTCGGGAAGTTAATATTTCTTTAGTGGGACTACACTATCTAAGCTGGTTGATATTAAGTTCACTAATTATTTTTTTTTTAATGGATAATAACTCAAACACGCATACTCTTGAAAGAAAAAAGTTTATAGCAATATATATATATATATATATATATATATATATATATATATATATATATATATATTAAAATTTAAAAACCCCATCACTACATAAGATGAATGTTTCAAAATATAAGAAAAAAGTTCCAATAATTATTTGTATTAAAAAATTAAAGTTCCAAACAAAAAAAAATCGCTTGAAGATGGAACAGAGCTTGGTACTTTAATTCATATTTAATTCAAATAATTATAATGAAGTTTTCGGCTCTTGTTTTGAAACCTGAGAACTCTTATGTAGCGATGGAATCATATTTTTTAAGTAAATAATTATATTTAGGCTTTACTTTTGTATCGAGTACTGTTTTTTAAAAATAATAACAAAAATACTAAACAACTTCGGATTGTTTACCTAACGAGTTCTTTTTCCTATTTTCTATATATTTTCACACACACACACACACACACACACACACACACACACACACATATATATATATATATATATATATATATATATATATATATATATATATATATATATATTATTGGGATAATCATAAATTGGGTATTATCATATATATATATATATATATATATATATATGATAAAATAAAGAACAAATAGGAAACGTATATTAATCTAACATGTTTCATAATTGATTCTGATATTTTCAGTCTTTCTTTGTAGTGAGTCCTAGGTAATACTTTGCTAGTTTTTAATTCGATGATTGGACTAAATTTTGACCAATACCGAGTCAATCTACGAGAGAGTGTTGTACCTGTGTAAACCAATGTAAGAATTCAATGTATTTTTGAGTAGACTAGATTACCCAACCTGAAAGCATTTCTCATCGGACCCCACCTAGAAAGTTATGTGCTGCATTTATCAAACCCTGCTCACATTTGGCTGAGACACATGTGCCTGGTATACCCTTATTAGTGTTTGATTTACGATGAGACATTGTCTTCATATACTTTAAATACCATTTACGGTTGGAACACCACCTAAAAAATTGAAAGAGCGCTTAAGGAGAAGTGGAACCCCAGATTGTAGACCCCCAGAAAACTTCCATCATTGACACTACGAGGATTCTCCAAAATGATCTTGAGTTGTAAAGCGAGTTGTTGTCACCATGCCTTAAAAACAAAATCAATGTGCGTGACCAACACAATAATAATAATAATAATAATATCTACGCCAAACGGGCAAAACAACTTGGTCAAAATGAAGTTGCAAAAAACTGTGAGGACAAGGCTTTGCGAGGCAAATACGAATAAAGTAGATGTGGGCTAACAGAAAACACATCAGTGGCTGAGGAGCACCAGGTTGAAAGCTGAGACAGAAGGCCTAATTATTGCAGCTCAGGACCAAAGCCACGCAACCAGATCCTATCACTGACACCTAATCAAGGATGAAACTAACCCAAAATGCAGGATCTGCGGAAAAATGATGAAACTGTTAACCATATTATCTCAGGATGTCCGGAACTGGCAAAGAAATGGTTTTACCCACAGATATAACATGTGCACTGGAAGATATGCAAGAATAACAAATTCGAAACCACTGAGAGATGGTATGACCACCAACCAGACACCATTACCCAAAATAACGATGTATCTCTCATCTGGGACCTGCCAATTCAAACTGACAGAGAAATAAAATCCAACAGACCTGATATTATCATAAAAGACAAGAAATTCAGGAAGTGTATGATTATTGACATATCAGTACAATCTGAGAGAAACACCTTCATGAATATTATTGAGAAATTGTCCTGGAGATTGAGATTAACAGGATATGAGAAATGAAGACTGAGTCTGTACCAATAGTAATCGGAGCTCTGGGCCTCGTGAGAAAATGAAGTGACAATTTTACTAACAGTGTCCTAGGCAACATTAACATACAAGTTGCCCAGAAGATTTCCTTACTAGGAACATTCCATATACGAAGAAAAGGGTAATAAATTAAGCACCAATTCTCATATAGGGCCTAAGAACCATAGTTCGGACTTGGATCTACAGGATAAAACAAAAACATAAATAATCAGTCAGTTATGTGTCATACGCTTAGGTGATCATGTATCTTTCGATACACGACTGACGAAGCAATTTTTTTCCCGCAGTTAGTTGCCATTTCTTTCTGTAGGAGACCAATCGACATCTAAGGCTATAGAACCCGGTCTGTCTTGTTATTTACCCATTGCTGGTGGGGGAAGAAGAGGATTCATACCTTTCCCAAGGGTATTAGCACATAAGTGAATGTAATGAATTTGACTGGAATTTGAACTCGGCTCTCCGATTTCTTAATCCGAGCCGCAACCCAGTACTCCACCGTGCCTCCAAATAATAATTATAATAATAATAATAATAATAATAAGAAGAAGAAGAAGAGCTTCATAAATGTGATCATTTTGTTATGTCTATTCAAGAAATAGAGAAGGCTATTCACAGATTCCTTTTCTTATTTGGAAATTATTATCATCTTATTATTCTTGGCAATATAAGCATTGTTTTCCCGTTGCTTGCAATGGTTTTGTATTCAGAGTGTTTATTCTCTTACACTGGCTGCCATCCAAAGATAGAGATCCCTCTCTATTCTGCTATTAAATCTATGGTTTCGAATGACAGAGATGAATCAGTGCGAAAGTGAATTTAACAGACTAGGCGGGAATTGGAACCCGGTTCATCGATTCATCTTCTTATATCAATAACCATAACGTTACCTGCATTTCTACATATGATTCTATTATCTGATGAAAACTTTTCGGTGAAAAGATTTGATAAACTATCAGAGTAAAGTTTAGTCTTCTAAACTAATCTCTATATCTAAAAAATAAACAATTATCATTTGTTCAATGGATCAGTCTTAGAACATTCAAACCCAATTTCAAATATATCAGATCAATGCAAAAGTCCGTGCCTGATTTTCATTGTTAATATAAAATAACCGTGACTTGCAACTGGCGCTTGTTTTGGTACCAATTTCTGGTATGTTCAAGATTGATAACTTGTATTGATCAGTTGCGAGTCAGACTTTATTAAATGTCCACGAATGAACGCCTTCCAAAATGGACGATGAAAAGTTCGCCATATTATGCTCTGTGAATATCGGAAAGAAGTAAGCGACGGAATAGCGACAAAAAAAAATCAGATGGTTTATTTAGATCATGCTCCAGCTCTTCGGACTGTCAAAAGTGTTCTGGCAGATTTCCGCCGGGTAATTTTAACCTAACCGATCAACCACGCAACGGACGACCTCCCGGTGTCGATGAAGACTTTCTGCTTGTCATCGTGGATAATAAACTGAAGATTTCAACGGAAAAGTTTACTAAGAGTTTGAAAATCGATCTCTCAACTAACTTTCGCCATTTGAAGAAGTTCAAGAATAATGGCCGATTTTGGCAAATCGTAACGGTCTTATTTTTCCACTACGACAACGCAAGACAGCGTGTTTCAAAACAGACATTGCAGAACCCTCCAGCACCCACCGAAATCTCTTCATTTGGCTCCTTCGAATTTTCATTTGTTCCTGTCTCTACAGAACCATTTATATCAGCGGTCCCCAATCTTTTTGCGCCACGGACCGGTGTCATGCAAATCATTTTTTCCACAGGTCAGTGTCGTGGTCGGTCACGCGTATAATAAAACACAATAAACAAGGCCCCGATAGCCAATAAAATGAAAAGGAAAATGTTTTTATTCTTTCTGTTTGACCAGGTACTACATGGTTCACAGCCCGGGACCCGTCCGCGGTACCAGTTATTGGGGGCCGCTGATTGATATGACAAAAACATTTGGCGTTGTGCAAGACAGTCGAAAACTACCACACAACCTTCTTCCAACAAAAGACTAGGCTTCTACGAAAATGGTATCAACAAGTTTGTAGAATGATGACAGATAAGTCTCCGTTGTTTTTAACAACTGTGTATTTGACTCAGAATTCTTTTTTGTTAGTATATGACATACGTTGATTACTGAAATCATTTTTCTCTATCTCTCCTTTTGATGATGGTTTGTGAAATATTAACAAATTTAACCCGGGATGTCCGGATATCCTAAGGATTAAAGGTCCTGAAAATCGAATCAGCGAACCACATTCGAATTCTGACGGATTTCGTTGCATTCATTTTCACACTCATAATCATTGGGAAAAAAACATGAATCTATCGCTTCATCCTCCAACTATGGGGGAAATAGTATAGCAGAGAAGACTAGATTTGTGTAGCAGCCAGATTAGAAGGACAACTCTGAATAAAGAAACTTGGAGGAAGAAACAACTGAAACTATCTTTGCAAAAAAAGTCATAATAAGTCATAGAAATTTATTTAAAAAATAATGAATTATTTGTAGAGAGCCGGGATCAACAAAGTCACACTCTAAGATGTCATCTCAGAAAGAAATACCTAAACCTTTAACCACTGACAGAAAGTTTAAATCACCCTTCTAAACTGAATTTATTCCATCAAAAATCTACATAAACAAATATTTGGGTGATATTTTTTTTTTTTTTGTCCAAAAGTGGTTATATATGTTTTTTTCTTGTTTATCAAATGCACCTGCTGTTTTCGATATTTCTTAGTCTCATATTCTTAGTATGATTATTATCAGAAATATTTATTTCTATTTAAATTGCATATTTCCGACACTTGTGAGACCTTTCTGCTCTGGCTTCACTCCTCTGCTAAATGCGTTTTAATGGAATGGTTAACTCAGTTTCAAGACAAGTAATTCTATTCTCGAACATAATCGAATTTCTTGGCAGGTGTCGTAAAAAGGAACGAAAACCATGCTTCTAGCAATTTCTTTTTGAAAAAAAAATGAAGAGCCGTTGCACAACTCGAAAGAAATTAAATATTCAACAAAAACAAAAAAAAGTGCGGGACGATATTAGCTGCAATAAATATTCTTTGATTAAGAAATGAGAAACTTAACATTTTTCTCGAATGATTTAAGTCGTTAAGGTTCTCATAATTTCTGGTATTGCTAAAAAAAAGTAATAAAGGCAGTTGTTATATTAATAAGTTTGCTACAAGGCCACGAATATTGCGGAAAAAGTGAGAATCTAACTCATCGCTAATTATCAACTAGACAACCCCGTTAACAATTACATCACATGAAAACGACCTTATCATTTCGGTAGCAAAGCTTAGAGTGCATCACAGGAATTACCCCCCCCGAGTATTTGACATAGTAGTAATGGCTTATCAGTCCAGCTCGTTAGCCATTAACCCGCGCCGTGGCGCCTTACTTACTATACTTATCTTACTTGTGACCTTGTGCCAGAAATAGGAGACTCGAATTCAGTCGTAATGGTCAAAGAGAACAGCACGATAACCATTAGACCACGCTGAAGAGTCTTTCTTTATTAAGTGTATCTTAAGTGAGTACTAGGCCACAGATAGAAGACACCCAGTGAGGATCGAAGGCACTAGTAATGATCAACAAGACCAGCTCGTTAACCATTACCTCAATCCGAAACACCCAACCTTCTAATACATTTGGGTAAAAAGAATTTTAAATTATTTGAGTTATTGCTTTCTACCCAACGGATTTTATATAATTCATTCAAGAAGTATTGCTTTTGCACGTAGACGACTTCAAATAACATATTTCTCTTCATATTCAAATTTACAGTATGTGCTAGGTTATTTATACATATAATAATAATAATAATAATAATAATAATAATAATAATAATGGACTCTCCCGTCAGTTTTAACTTAACCAATTGATTCAGTTATGAAGTTTTGTGCGATAATCTTAAGTGGCACTTAAGACCCACTGGTGATTTACAAAAGATGCCGCATACGGAGCAAGATTGTGAGACGAGATCACTGTTAGATTGGCTGACCTTTTAGATCTTACTCTCGATACTTGAAGACGATTCAGACTAGCAGATTGAAAACTGCTGAGTCCACTAAAACAAGTTAATCTCCATTCTACCCACTTCAAGGCTAAGCTTTCGATGGTGTTATGAGGTATATTGACAGCTGACAAGTTGCTCTTTGTATCTTAGTCATGGCCGTCCTACATTCCTGTAGCCCTGATCTAACTGGCTGTACATTAGGATCTTGGGTATCCTGTCATCAGATATTCTCAAATGTGTGTGTGTGTGTGTGTGTGTGTGTATATAAACACACAAATGGATAGAATAAAAAATGTATATACGCGAAAATATATTTGCACGTACGTAAGTATATTTATTCCTAAGGTGGTATAAATAATGTGCTCAATGTCGTGAAGCAGAACTATATGTATATATTAGTGAATATACATAATATCCAACGTCGGTAACACCACACGGACTTTCATCCAGGGAACTGCGTGAAACTCCGAGTAGTGTTATCGAGTTGTATATATATATATATATATATATATATATATATATATATATATATATAAAGAAGAGATTATAGTAGTTCCAGCAAGAGATAAGTGTGTATATTAAAGAGAAGAGAGAAACCGCCAAATTTTTCGATTGTAATGTCGATTTTTTATAATATATTATGCTTTATTTTTCATAAATTATGGAAAATAAAGCATAATATATTTTAATAAAAACTATATTACAACCACAAACGTTTGCGGTTTCAATCTTCTTTTATATATATATATATATATATATATATATATATATATATATATATATATATATATATATTTCATGCTTAAAGGAAATCGTCAGTCGTCCTAGGCATGATGACTGCGTTTAAGCATGGAACAGACTGTTGCTGTTAGGTATTGGCTTCAATCTCCACTTTTTTATTTACATAAGCTTTATCTCTGATACTGAACGCTTTAACCCGTAAATATAGCATACCTTAAAACAATACTTTTCTCATATATATATATATATATATATATATATATATATATATATAGAGAGAGAGAGAGAGTATTAAATTGTGAAAGTGTTAGGTGCCAAGTTTGCTGGTTGTTCTTCCATTGTTTCCTGGTCTAAAGGCATTTTAGGCAGGCAGGTTTTTGTCCTAAAGTGCTCGATATCCAATGAATAAGTATAGAGCGTTAATCAATACAAACAGAAACAAATAAACACGACACAAAGCACAACCTCACTACAAACACCAACCTACTACATACTTAGAGGAGGCACGATGGAGTAATGGATAGCGGCTTAGATTGAGGAATCGGAGTTCGAATTCCAGTCGAATCCATTACTTTCACTTACTTTGGGAAAGGTGTGAATCCTCTTCTTCTCCCTCCAGACTGGGTTCTATAGCCTTGGATGGCAATTGGTCTAGGAGAAGGAAAACTCTGAATTCAAAACCTGTGGAGGGTCGTTTGTAATCGGCCCTTCAAAAAGTGTGGATGGTCCTGCACGAAACCTTCACCGCTATAATCAAATCTCATGTGCTATACATGCACATGAATTCCCATGAAACTCCAATATTGGAGCCGGCTCAACCTACCCCGGGTGAATGCCGTTACAAGTAAGTAGTAGTAGTACTACATACTCACACAAACACACGTATATAAATGCCTAATCACGACCAAGCAAAAAAATGGATAACAAAATAAAATGGAAAAACTAGATCTTATAACACTCACTAGAAAAAAAAAAGCAAATACAATTCACAATACAGGAAAATACTTGTTGACAACACCAATATAATACACCACGAAAATAAACACAAACTTCAAATTCTCGAGGTCTTGTCTACCAAAAGCAACCAACCAACATTTATTATGGGTGTAGCTGCAAACGTGTTTTTGTCTATATAACAAACATTTAATGCCATTTTGACTTTCTACTAAATTCCGGTCAGCTCCCTTATATTGGGACGCTTGTTTTCAAAAAATTGTATAGCTGCTACGGATGAATATAAAATTTTAAAACGATTATAATTGAACGCGCTCATGCGTGTTTTTATTTTTTTTTTTAAATCACCATCGCAATCAAATTTAGATTTTATCAGAGCTTCAAGAAAATTAAAGCGCACATCTACGAAACTGTCTTGACAAAGCAAAAAAAAAAAAAAAAGAAAAAAACACTTCACATCAACAATACTCTTCAAAGGATAGCTCAGGTCGCTACTCAGCTTTCATATATATATATATACCCTTTTCATTGAGCACTTTTTTACAATTATATGCTACAAACAGTGGAATTTTAGAAATTTGTATATAAATATATATATAAAAGACATTTTTATGTTTAACGTTCTTTTTTTATAGATACAAGTATTTAAGTAAATGCTCTGTTTATAATAAACAGTATTAAATAACATTTACCGGCCTGAATGTCCGAGAAATTTTCATAGAAAATATTCGTCCTTTGACAGGATTCGAACTTGCATCCTATACGGAACCGTCATTTACGCTGACGTGCCTAACCTCTCGGCCACAAAGGAGCGTTCGGTTGGCAAGGTTGAATTTACTGCTTATAAACTTCAATCTTCCATGAATCTCGTACATTCATAACTGCTCTGGCGTATCAAATGTAAACAAATGACGTCATATATTAAGAAATGGACAGTATGTGTTGGAAATATTCTTTAGAGAGAAATTATTGAAACATGAAAGCTTTTGTGTAGCGATTTCAATATATTTTTATTGTAATCTCTTATAATAATAGTAATATATATATATCAG